TGTGTTACATTCATGTAGCAGATTAAGACCCATTTCTTTCTTCCTCTATATTAATTTTTCCAGCACATTATTGCAGCTTACTATTTAATATATGAAACCCTGAAATTTGTGTGTGGATTTTAGGGGAAAGAAGAGTGGGATGTGATTGATTGCTCTATAACAAAAGCTAAAGTACTAAAAAATAATGGTGCATTCTAAGAATTCAACTACCAACTTATTTATATTGTTTTTGCATCTTTTTCTTTTGTTTAATGTCATTACATTATAGATTTTGGGAACAATGGATCATGTAACAGTAAATATCCAAGTGATCCTTTCAAAAGTGATACCTTTTGTGTACAATAAAAAAAAGTTACAACATTTATTTCCACTTTAGTAACTCAATGGATCATAAATCAGTAAAAAATAAGATGACATAATTGCACATGTTACATAAAGTGTCTATTCAAGTGAGATGTGCAATTGAAACATGATTGTGTGCAATTAAAAACAAGAAAAAACAATAATCTGAATAAATAAAAACTGTTTATTTTAAGATCACTAGAAGAAAGTCCAAACTTAGAAATATATTTGCTTTAAAAATAATTATATCAAATCAAACTTTTATTTCAACAAATTTTTCTTACCCTAAGCAGGAGTATATATATAGGAAGAATCACTCAGGTCTATTCTCTCCTTAGGGCCTGATGCACAGATGGAATCGATAGCGCCAGTTGGGGATGATGGGCGTGCAGCGACAGACCCTGATGGTAGGTGGATAGATCTCCCTCCCATCGCTAGGAGGAGGCGGAAAGTGTGGATACGGGAATGCTATGAGGATCTCTATGCCGACATGAGAGAGCTCGCAAGCCTGGGCAAGAGCTACATCCACATATCAGGAAACCCTGGAATTGGCAAGTCGTGCTTTCTGTGGTACGTCCTGAAACGGCTCCTCAGTGAAGAAGGGATACCGGCCGTGATAGTTCAGCTCGTCGAAAAAAAGAAGAAGAGGGTTTACATCTTCAAACCGGATGAGTTACGCACCCGGTTCTAAAGAGGATTACGAAATCCCGGGGGCTTGGCTTCTCACGGATCAGGAGTTTGTTGGGAACTTCGCTACACATACTGTGCTCTTTGCATCACCGGAGGAGAGCAATTGGGTGGACGCGCTCAAACTCATCAATGAGATAGGCTTCTTTGCGCTTTACATGCCTCCTTGGTCTGTCGAGGAGTTGCAGCAGGTTTACTTCTCGGCGCCCGAGAACGCAGATAAGTCGCACATCGACTTCTGGGCGACGTACTACATAGCCGGGCCAATCGTGAGGTACTACTTCATGCCTTTGGAACTTGTATACAACATGATAGGCATGGCTGTGAACCATGCTGTGAAAGTGGGAGAGCTCAACATTTACCGTGCATTATTTTTGCCAGAGACCTCTGTTTCCTGGCCAAGTCTGGACTTTACCTGTGTGGATCATATCTCCTTCACTTCGGAGTGGGTCGTAGATTGTTTCGCCATTGCATGCTACAAGGGACAGATCGAGGACTGGATGGAGTGCACTCGGGCACTGCCTTCACTGCGGAGTGCAGCTTGGGTCTTGTTTGAACGCTATGCTCACCACCGACTCTCGCAGGGTGGTCACTTCTGTAGCGTCGATGATGCTGCCATTGGCCTGCATTTGGAGAAGCGTGACGTGAAGTTCTTCTCAGGCAACAGTCTCAACCTGCAAGTACCTGGCCTCCACTATCTACAGCCTAGCAGCCCAGCAACATTCCCTCCGATAGACTCGGTGTACCCCCCACTCGTCCTTTTCCATATCTCGACTGCACTGAAGCAGAGAGCAATGAACAAAAGCGACTACGACGCCTTGTGCTCTTCACTGATGGCATTCAGAAGGGAGCATCCTGATGTCCTGTCGGGCTTGCAAGGCGTGAAGGAGGAAGACCAAGTGTACGCCGTTTTAGTGAAGATGGAGGGTGGCAAGTCTTTGGATTCAGAACCCTTGTGTGTGGTGGAAGACGTTCCAGATGATCAGCCGCTGCAGCAGCAGTCGAAGAAGCGAGCGAGAAGTCCAGAGTGGATCAAGAAAGAGGAGATGCCTGAGCGGAAGAAAAAGAGGACGTACCTGCCTTTCGAGATGACGATTGCTCTCGAGATGCAGGATCACGTTAACGGCTCGATCAGCTGCTCGACCATCGAGGAGGTCTTCGACATTGTCCGTTCGAGGATGGATGGTACAGTTGATACTGGAGGACTCAAGTTTGGGGACATGAGCAGAAAATCAGGGGAGGCAAAGTTCCCAACAGTGTTGATGCGAGGAGGTACGTGCAAGTTATTATATGGGTATTTTGTTTGGTCTCTTCCTGCATCTCATTACAATCCAACAGGAAAGGGAAGCGTACAATGCAAGGAGATGGAAGACGGTGTGACTGTGTTTGGTGTATCGATCGAAGCTGTTCGGACCACAGTACACACTGAATTGAAGGAGGAAACTGCTTTGAGTATCAAGTGCACGGCTGGTAAGCTAGCTGGGAAAGAGTTGACAATTTTCGTGAATGAGGTAGGCATCAGTTATCTGGTATTTGTATCAATGTTGTATTTTCTTCTTTTATTCCAGCGTCTTCGAACACATGTGATGTTTTCTCTGCCTACTATCCTCAACATGGACACACAGAGGCTCGGAGTCTTGACTGTTCCTGGTATTGTCTTCCAGTTTTCATGGTCGGGTGACACAGCAGATGTTCTCATCAAATCGAAACTGAGAACCTCAACATTAATTAAATTTGTGTTCCCATTGGATGAGGAATAGGCAGAAGTTAATTATTTGGTGAAAATTCAGTGAATGTTTACTTAAAAAATGCCATGAAGGTTTTCTTTGACAAATTTTCCTTTATTTTTAATAAAACAAATTATAAAATCTGTATCAACATATTGCAAATGTAGGAAGGAAATCAATGGCTATGTTGTTTATCAAAATCCTTGTTATAGGAAACGCATACATTGATCATTCATCAAGTAGAATATTTTCATTGAGCTTCTCTTGCAATCCAGACATCATCTATGACTGGAGTTGACTTGACGTTGACTTCACATGAGCTTTACCCTTAAATACCTTGACTTAGGGCAGCTACCGTTTAGTCCTAATTAATTATTTGGCTAATCTGTCTAGGAGTTTAAACCCAAAACCCTCACGCCCAGATGCCCTAACCCTTTGCGAGGTGGGAGGCGTGGAGGCGTGGAGGCGCAGCGAGGATGAACAATTTCCGCAATGTGAAGATGCCGTCGGGCGCTGGCCCCGCGGGAGCGCTGGCCAAGGTACTCACTGTCGCCGGTGTGGGGATCTACGCCCTCGCCAACAGCTTGTACAATGTGGACGCCGGGCATCGCGCCATCGTCTTCAATCGCCTCGTCGGGGTCAAGGACAAGGTAGGCGAGCTTGCCGCAAGCATCGCATTGCTCTCTCTTTTATTTCGGGGATCGCCCTTTTTGTAGAGTTCGATTGATCTTTTGCCTTCCAGGTCTATCCCGAAGGAACGCATTTGATGGTGCCGTGGTTTGACAGGCCAGTGATCTACGATGTCCGTGCTAGACCCAACTTGGTCGAGAGTACTTCTGGCAGCAAGGATCTCCAGATGGTAAGATCAGTTCGTTTTAGTGTGTTCTACGAGAACTTTTCTAGTTCTTGTTCATTCCGTGAGGCTGGAACTGATTTTGCGTTCTTGCTCTCAGGTCAGAATCTCGCTTCGTGTTCTAACACGGCCGATCGCGGACCGTCTCCCGTCGATCTATCGCACCCTGGGACAGGACTACGCGGAGAGGGTCTTGCCTTCGATCATTCACGAGACGCTTAAGTCGGTGGTTGCGCAGTACAACGCAAGTCAGCTCATCACTCAGCGAGAGGTGAGCAAGAGCGTTTCTGCGAGTTTGTACTCACAGGGTTTTGTAGGTGGTGAGCAGGGAGATCAGACGAATCCTGACCGAGCGCGCCTCGCAATTCGACATCGCTCTGGACGACGTTTCCATCACGGGTCTTACGTTTGGAAAGGAGTTCACGGCTGCCATTGAGGCGAAGCAAGTCGCGGCACAGGAAGCCGAGCGTGCCAAGTTCATCGTCGAGAAAGCCGAGCAGGACAAGCGCAGTGCCATCATCCGAGCTCAGGCATGTCCTTGTTTTCGTTCTTTGTTCTTCTTGCCCGTTCTCTTTCTTTGTCTTTCGTCGTTCTTTGTTCCTTCTTTACTCTCTTTGTTCTTCTTCCTCGTTCTTTCTTTTCTTCTTGGTTTCGTGGATGGTGTTGCAAAGATTTTTTTTGTTAATTTTTATCGCTTCGACAATGAGCTTGTTTACTCCCTTTTCTCCGTGATTCTTTCGTAGAGATTTGCCTTTTCCATGTTCTACTTCTTTTCATGGCTTTGTTGTTGCAAACTTGACAGGGAGAAGCAAAGAGCGCGCAGCTGATTGGAGAAGCCATCTCCAACAATCCCGCGTTTGTGACACTGCGACGCATCGAAGCCAGCCGGGAGATTGCTCACACCGTCGCAAACTCGGCAAACAAGCTCTTCCTCGACTCGGACTCGCTGCTGCTCAATCTCCACAGCGTAGACGTCGAAGCCGACGCCATGGCAACGCGCAAAGGAAAGAAGTAATGCGGTAACTTATAGCTTTTCTTTCGTTTTCTCCATCGCTCTTGGCTAAACTTCCTTCTCCTTTCTCTCCAAAACTTTCAGGGAAGTTTTTGGAGATTAAGATCACTCTTCGTCGTCGTCTCGTGCTCAGCATAAAACAATGGACCGAAGTTTTGGCGATTTTTTTCCTCTTTCTTTCTACAAAGATCTTGCATTTCCGTTACCTTCTATTTCGATGAGTTAAAAGTGGACGAATTCTCGACCGTGCGATTTGCGTTGTGCCACGTGGCGGCATCCCAGGCCCATTGTTTTTAACCCCGCCATTAAAAAATTGCCATGGCCCTTTCCCCTTGGTCAAAGAAGTATGTTTACGTACGAGGACAACTCATTTTTTACCATGCTCTGCGTGAATCCCCATTGTTTTTGTGAAGCGTGAGAGAGAAATTTTCACCGCTCGCATTTTGGAGGAGGGAGCGCGAGCTAAGCTGCGCCGCGGCGGCGCGAGGAATTGGCATCCAAGCTAGCGCCTTGTTCTTCGCCGCCGGTATGAGCTCCATGGCCTTGCGATTCCATCTCTTCTAGGTTATCCCCCAAGAATTTGGCCGCCGCCGGATCCATTTCTCGCGGAGTCAGCGCTGGTTGTGGCGGCATCGATCTTTGATCGCTGGGAAATCAGGGTTTCGCGCGGGCAGTGTGAACAGGGCGGTCCCCTCAGGAACACGGCATTTCGGCCGCTGGCAGCTCCACTGGCACAGCAGGGATAAGAAATTCAAGGCGCGTGTCAGCGCAGGGAAGAAATTTCTGGCAAATGGTGCTCGAGATCGCGGCTGCTGGGTGAGATTATAGGTCGGGAGATGAAGCTAGATGGGGAGGAGAGTGGAGCTGGTCCAGGGGATGGGGGTGGAGGCGTTATGCTGCGCAAGCCAACGCCTTCTCGGGGCCGGCTCTCGCTTGATTCGTTTGGAAAGAGCAGCGACTCCAGCCCAAGTCCCATGAGCTTGATGGCAAACTTTCTAGCCGACCACGACGCCGACAACTCGGCTTCTTACTCGAGCTTGCTAGCGGGAGCTATGACGGCGGACGAGAAGCAAACAGATGGTTTGAATGGGATCTCTTCGAGGCTGCTGGCTTCTTCCACGGCTGGTAGCTTTGCCGAGAGGCTAGCGGCTAGAACTTCGACGACAACCGCGACTACTACGGCGGAAAGTTGCAAGAGCGGTGGCTTGCCAGCGTCAGGACCAATCAGGCCGTCTACTGCACGCTTCAAGTCGATGCCTCCATCGCGCCTACCGATTCCAAGAGCTCCTTGCGTGACAATTCCTCCGGGGCTCAGCCCAACCACCTTACTGGATTCGCCAGTTCTTCTTTCAACATCTCATGTGAGTTTTCTCGCTCGCTCTTTCTCGCTCACTCGTTTTTGGCTCGCTCTTGGTTGGAAAGTTGTATTCATGGCTGGTTTTTTCCTGATTGCAGCAGCCGGAACCATCGCCAACTACAGGTACTTTCCCGTTGCCTCCTCTGCTTAGTGGGAACGGAATCAAACCCGGCGAAAACTCCAAGGTGAAAGAACAGGATGGGGGCGGCTCGGGCTTTGTCTTTAAGCCTTTCCCAAAGACAGGAACTCGCAACTCATTGTCGCCTCTGGGAAATTTTGGAAATGCGGTACGTGTTCATTTTAATTCACTGGTACTTGGTACTTCTCTTCGCTAACGTTGGTTATGTCGTGCTCAGGCTCCATTTAGCTTTTCACAACAGAGTTTTGCGGAGACACAATCGCATCTACAGCAGAAACCGCAAGGACACGCGCCTGTACAGTCGGATCCTTTGCCACCTACATCCTTGCAACTGTCGGCAAATATCCAAGCAGAGAAGCAGCAGGAGCCGCAAAAACAATCTCCCACACAACCGGACCAAAACCGGACGACTTCAGCTTCGCCCCCTCCTCCTCCTGCGGAAAGATCCTCGGACGACGGATACAATTGGCGTAAATACGGGCAGAAGCTGGTGAAAGGCAGTGAGAATCCTCGGAGCTACTACAAGTGCACGTACGTGAATTGCCCGATGAAGAAGAAAGTCGAGCGCTCTCCCGACGGGCAAGTTACCGAGATAGTCTACGAAGGCGAACACAACCATCCCAAGCCGCAGCCAACTCGCAGAATGGCGATGAGTGCGGCAAACCTCATGTCCAAGTCTTTGAGCGTAAGAAACGGGAGCACGGACAAGACCGAAGTAGGCCGCAATCAGTCGAATGGTGGAGCCAGCGAGCACTCATCATCGTCTGGGAGTGATGACGAGGATGAGCCCGATGGAAAACGCAGGTAAGACGCAGCTCAAGTTCTCAGTGCCGTGTACGCAAGTAACTCCTTTTTCTCTTTTGTTTCTTATCCCCAGGAAAAAAGAAAAGCTGTCCAGGGAGAGTCCTCCCATTCCGAAGAATGTCCGCGAGCCTCGAGTGGTCGTGCAGACGACCAGCGAAGTTGATATTCTGGACGACGGTTATCGCTGGCGCAAGTATGGACAAAAGGTCGTCAAAGGCAATCCACACCCCCGGTAAGAACAGTGTTCTTGTAGTTTTCGTGTGTCTTAATGCGTGCATTTATGGTTCTTCTCCAGGAGCTACTACAAGTGTACCAATCTGGGATGTCCGGTGCGAAAGCACGTCGAGAGGGCCTGTGATGATCCCAGAGCAGTGATAACTACGTACGAAGGCAAGCACAATCACGATGTTCCTGCAGCGAGGAACAGCAATGCTCATGATAGGAATGGCGGCGGCGGCAGCGGCGGCGGCGGCGGCGGTGGTGCTGGCGGAATGGAGATGGTTCCCATGCTTGGAGCTCCGCCAGGGAGCTCGGTTCCAAGCCAGAGTGGTGGATCCGACTCGGCTCTCAGCCTTCCAGCGACGTCGGCGGTCACGTCCCCGGAGGTTACTGCCGCGGCGGAGGGGGATTCGTTTGGAAGAACTCTCGAGGGTGTGAAGCCCGAGCGGCAAGAGTTCTTGACGGGATCGCCAGTGATTATACCGGTGGTGAGGCCGAAAGAGGAACTCCAGCACGATGCTACTGGCAAGTTAATGCTGAGGCCGTGACGAACACGAGGTGGAAGAAGCGAATGAAGCCATGGAAGTGGAAGAAATCATGGTAAAAAAGAAGAAGATGGAGAAGCTCAAGATCAAATCCACCATGGTAGAAGAAGGCTCTACCATAAAGAAAGAAAGGAAAATCTTACGAAAGGAGAAAGAGAGGAGATATAGGCCTTGTACATTAAATCTTCAAGAGCTGGATTTTACTTTACGAGGATTTAGGGTTCTTCGTTTCTTCGTCTACGGAGTTATGGCGGCTCCCGCGGCCAAGAAGCTCAATCTCATCACGAAGATGGCGCTCCAGACGGCCGGTAATGCCAAGGTTTGCTGGTATCCGGGGCATATGGTCAAGGCGATGCGCGATATCCAGCAGCGCTTCAAGTATGTGGATCTGGTGCTGGAAATTCGCGATGCTAGGGTATGAGAGTGAGAATGTGGGAGGATTTGCTTTAGTTTCTTGGTTTGCTTGTGGCAGATTCCGCTTTCCTCCGCGAACGATGAGCTTGGAGAGTTTATTTCGAAGAAGAAGCATGTCATTGTGATGAACAAGATGGATTTGGCGTCTTCGAATATGATCCATGTAAGTGTTGTGTGTGTGTGTGCCATCGTGTTTGCACACGATGTGGATGGATCGGTTCTTAGGTGGATTTGTTTTGGTAGAATTGGAAGAAATACTTTGAAGCTCAAGGCCAGGTTCCCATCTATGTAAACGCTCACTCGAAACACTCGGTCCACAGTGTAAGAGCTCTTTTCGTGTTTTTCTTTCATGGGAATTTTCTGTGTGGGTTCTTATGGCTCGGACACTACAGATGGTTGTTGATATCAAGGAGCGTTTAGCTGGTGCTATCCAAAAGGAGGCCACGCTTCTTGTGATGATAGCCGGCATTCCAAATGTTGGAAAGTCTGTGCTCACGAATGCTTTATATCAGGCCACAGGTAGACCTTTTCTTCATTGTTTCTCTGGGTTTGTAACGAGCTTGTTTGTATCTTAGTGCAGGGCAGGCCTAAGAAGGCTCAAGTTGGCCCGCTTCCTGGTGTTACCAAGATCATTTCAGGATTCAAGGTACTTAAGTTTTTTGGTCTTTTTGATTTGGAGATTTTACTAATATCTTTGTCGATAGATAGGCCAGTGTCCCAGTATTTATTTGCTAGATACACCAGGAGTTTTGATTCCGAACATCAAGAGTGTGGAAACTGGATTGAAGCTGGCTATAACAGGTGCGTGTGAATTTCGCTCGTGGAAAAGATCACGGTCTTGTGCTTATCCAGGCGCTGTCAAGGACTCCGTTATCGGCGAAGATCGACTTGCCAGATACTTGCTGGCGCTGCTAAACATTCGAAGGCCAGTGTTTGCGAAGAAACTAAAGCCAAATGCCAGAGACTACGGCCACTGGGAAGTGGTAATGAAGCGAGCATTTGGTTTCGGACGGACTCTAATGCTTGTAATGATGCAGAAAGGATGCTCCCCGCAGGAACGAGCCGTCCGCGAGGCTATCACCTCCCTGATGATCAACTTCGACGGCGATCTGGAAGACGAGGACGCGATGACAGAGCTGATCGACAACCAGATGTACGAGCTGCGAAAGACCTTCAGAGTCCCGCAGTCGGACGGATACGAGGGGTACAACAAAGTTGCCAGAAGACTGCTACAGTTTTACAGGGGTGGCAAGCTGGGATCATACGTGTGGGACATACTTCCAGAGGGTGCTTAAGCGTGCGGGGGGTGAAGTGAAACAGACGTGGCCATTGCTCGGCCGCCTTCACATGGCGGGGGTGATATAGGTGCAATGCAAGCTGCCAAGAGAGGACGGGTGAAGTGCCGTTTTTGGGGATCAGGGACGAAGAGACTGAGCGCAGCAGAACTCTTAGACAACAACCGGGGTCAAGTGGGCCTTGCAAACACGTCGGAGCACAACTTGTTTGACCTCCGCGGCTGCTGAATCGATCCATTACAAATCTCTGGCGTCAATAGGTAATTACGTTTTCACACAGAAAGGACGCTGTGTGGTCCAAGTCTCTCCTTTTTCTTTTTCCCCCCTTTGCTTTCCTGTCTCTCTCTCTAACTTTTGCTACTTGTTTGTTAACCAGCAGGGAGCTTGGCGATTGTTACACGCAACAAAATGAAGCAGATCTACCTGTGAAGCTTTTGGAATGGCCTGCACAGAAGGGAATGAGGTGGATTTGGTACCTGAAGGACAGCAGACCTCCCAAGAAGGCGAGGAGAAGAAAAGAGAGAATTTTAAAGCGGGGCAAAGTCTGTTGACGTTTCACCAACTGTGGGGGCTGTGGCGGCTTTTCGCTGTAGCCTTGTCATATAACCAACAACGGTGGTACGTGAGCTTGCACCCTCTTTCTCTTTCTCTTTCTCTCTCTGCCTGGCATTTATCTCCTTTTCTTCGTCCTCAGGTTTCGTTTCCAGCTTTGTCTCAGGCGCTAGATTGCCAAGTTCTGTACGCGACCAATAAAGAAGCGGGCCTTCCAGCAGCTTATCTATCCTGCGGGAGCACACAACACAACAAAGGCCAGCAACAGCAAGGCGAAGGTGATGAGTTTAAGTTAAGCATCTCACTTTTCTAGTTTCCTCTCTGCTTTAGTTTTTTCCTGCTTGTGTTTGACTCAGAGGTTGAGTAATTGGTGCTTTGAGTGGAGAAGTGATTGATTGATTGTGTTGGGGTTGCTTACTTCACTTTGCATTGCTCACCAGTAGGGGCGCTAGGACTGTTTGAGATGACATGATCCTCCCAAGAATGAGGGAGAATTATAAGCTAGCATCAGCTAAAGAGATGAGAAAGAGGAGGCTCAGCAAACAAGACGATGAGATTGGGAATGAAGGGATTTGAGGATTTAAGGATTGGATTGAGAGTTGCAAGACAAGAAGAGGGGGAAAATGGAAATAAAAAAGAAGGTGAAAAACTAAACTTTTACCACATCTCAATCATCTCCAATTATATGAGTCCCCCACCTTGCAGCCAGCTGAGGTACAGCCTTTCATGGGGGTTTGACGCGTGGCAGCCGCTCATGAGCCCACCACCCCCGAGCTTTTGAGATTTTAATCTCTTTTAATCCGTTTTTTGCTAGACATTTATTTGGAAATAAAGATTGAGAAAGCAACACAACAGCTTCTGAAACATCAACTCGATTCACCATTTCTCCTTTTTTTTTTTTTCAATTTGAGTTGATTTCAGAAAAAAGTTTAGAAAACGTAACGGAGTTTTACTCCCACGTACAGAAAAGTTTGGTATAAATCTTCCTTGGCCGAAAATTCGTGGCACCGCCCGGCTTCTTCCCGCAGCCACGCGAGGCAGCAAACAACAAACAACACGCAAAGTTAAGTAGCTCAACTCGCTCGTCAAAGGGGGCAAAACACAAATAAAAAAAAGGATAAGAGATAAGAAAATGCAAAAAAAAGAAAGAAAAAAAAGCATACAAGGAAGAAAAACACAAACAACAGCAACGAATCTCAATCAGTCTAGCTTACATGCCCAAATAATTGAGTTAAAGAAAAGGAGCTACTATTACAAAGATTTTTATGCCGCTGTATATAAATTTGTCCGCGGAAGCGATCATCATCCTCTGTCTACGTTTGTTTTTCCGGAACCTCTTGATCTTTTTCACGATGTTTTTACTTGGCTTCACCACGCGTGCGTCCCCAAAAGCAGCAGCTAGCTGGCTGTGCTGTCTAACCTGACCACCAGCGAAGTGTTCTACCCATATCGGCAAACCTTCTCACTCCCTGGCCCTTTAAAGCCGCATTCCCTCTCCCCACTCCAAATTTCTCTCCTCCAATCCATCACTCCAAAGCACAATCCTCTAAACAAAGAATAACAAGGAAATTCCTTTCGTCTTCCTCGCTCGAGCGCTCTCACCCTCTCTCACACACACTCTCCCTCTCTCTCTCTCTCTTCACTCTCTCTCTCTCTCTCTCCCCCAATTCCTCTCCTCAAGTCGGTCTTCTCCGTGAATTGGCGTTGATCTTTCCTTCCAAGAGGCTTCTTCTCCTCGCGCAAGCTTTCGCGCTTGGTCCTGCTGGATTGGATTTGCTTGGATCCGACGCCAGCAGCGCTCAAGCGAAGCATCTCTTGCTTGCCTTTGCTGCATGATTTCTTCGTTGCGGCGGGGTGTTTGCAAGGCGGAGCGCGCTCGCTAGCTGGATTCGCTGGCGCGCTAATTGCATATATATGCATATAATTGAGCTGGATCCTGGACAGGCTAGCTCGGAGCAAGCACAGGAATTGGGCAGCAAACAGGAGGAGGACGAGGAGAAATCGCATCGCACTAGCACCGAAACAAAGAATTCATCCGAGAGTGACAACAATTCGACCAAGGAGGAGGAGGAGGAGGATCGTCACCAAGAGATCAAGGATCAAATTGTGTCCAGTGAAGAGCTTGAGAAGAACCAAGAAGAAGGAGGAATCAGGCAAGTGAGTGTCTCGCACGCCACCAGGAAAAACGAGATTTTCCTCGCGCTCTCTCTCTCTCTCTCTCTCTCTCTCTGAATTGTCAATTGATCTAACAATTGGTTTGCATGGTTTTCTGTTAGATCGTTGCAAAGTTCCGGGAATTCGCGATCTAGTGATCCAGTTGGAGATCAAGGCGAAGAAGAAGTTGTCGCTGGAGAGCGAGACTTACTAATGGCGGCCACGACCTTGGTTCAAACAATCTCACCACACTTCAAGGTAGAGAAAGAGATCTTCTCACTCCTCCCGTTCCCACAAGATTGGATAATTCTATCTTTCTACCCGCTAGTTTTATCTCCAAGTTCGTTTCTTTCTCGTTTTTTTTCTTTCTTTGGCTTTGCAATGGCTGATTGGCTTCCAAATTCCAGGCTCCCGGATCATCCAGCTCGGCGGCGGCCGGTCGGTGGTCAGAATTGGAGGCGGCAGCGGTCATGGGATTGGGTTTGGGACTGGGAATCCAGCGAACAACCTCATCGGTAGCAAAGCGAAGATCATCGCCAGCAGGAGGAGCAGCTCCATCAGATCCCGATGTCACGCTCACGCTCTCCCTCACCGCCGATCGCCACGACAATTCCCGCAAGAAATCATCCGCCACCGCCACTGGCACCGACCAACGATCGCGAGCAGCAGTGACAATTCAGCAAGCTCCAAAGCAAGCCAAGGAGGAAGAACAAGAACAAGAGAAAGAAGAAGAAGCAGTAGAAGAAAGCGAAGCCTCCAAAGTAGAATCCAGCAAGATGGCGACCGTGTCAATCAAGCACCAGGCCGAGAATTCCTCCGGCAGCCATAGCTGGGTGGAGGCATTGCAAAGGTCCCAACAAGATCCAGGTGGTGGTGGTGCTGGCGGAGGTAGTGGCGGCACCACCACCACCACCACCACCACCAACAACAACAACAACAACAGCAATCTTCTCATGATCCTGGATCCAGATCAAGAAACGTCCATCACCATGAATTCCACCACCAAAAGTGGTGGCGGTGGTGGCGGCGGTGGCGCAATGGTTCTGAGCTCCGAGAGTGGCAAGCTGCCCTCTTCGCAGTACAAGGGCGTGGTGCCGCAGCCAAACGGGCGATGGGGCGCGCAAATCTACGAGAAGCACCAGCGCGTGTGGCTGGGCACGTTCAACAAGGAGGAGGAGGCGGCGCGAGCGTACGACCGCGCCGCCATCAAATTCCGTGGCCGCGACGCCATGACCAACTTCCGCCCCGTCCACGACTCCGATCCCGAGGCCTCCTTCCTCCGCCTGCATTCCAAGGAGCAAGTCGTGGACATGCTCCGCCGCCACACCTACGACGAGGAGCTCGACCAGAGCCGCAAGATCACGCACGCCCGCGCGGTGGCGGCGGCTGCTGCCGCGGCAGCCGCGGCCTCCATCTCCATCATCCCGGACAATCACCACCACCACCATGCTCACCACCAACAATTCTCCTCCTCCTCGAGCTCCCAGCAAGTCCTTGGCCACCACCCCAGCTCCAAGAACTCCTGGCAGGATCATCACCAGCAGCAGCTTCGATCATCCAGCGCGGCTGCTGTGACGCGGGAGATGAATCATCCACAGATGATGATCCACCACCCAGCGTCAGCGGCCCCGCCAGCCAAGCCGTCCGCCACCGCTGCCAGCGCGGTCCACCGCGAGCACCTCTTCGACAAGGCGGTCACGCCCAGCGACGTGGGGAAGCTCAACCGGCTGGTGATCCCCAAGCAGCACGCCGAGCGCTGCTTCCCGCTGGATCTCTCCGCCAACGAGAAGGGATTGCTGCTCTCGTTCGAGGACATCACCGGCAAGGTGTGGAGGTTCCGCTACTCGTACTGGAACAGCAGCCAGAGCTACGTCCTCACCAAGGGATGGAGCCGCTTCGTCAAGGAGAAGAAGCTCGACGCCGGAGACATCGTCACCTTCGAGCGGGGGCCAGGCCAGGAGCTCTACATCAGCTGGCGGAGGAGACCGGTCCCTCCTGGCGGCGCCGCTGCTCATCCCTCGATCCATCATCACCACCACGCAGCCGCCGCCGCCGCCGCCGCCCAGCAGCACCACCACCACCAGCAGATGATGATCAATTCCGCCGCTGCCGCCGCGGCCGCGGCCGCTCGATCCAATTGGGGGATTTCTTCGCGGCAGCAGGGAGGATTTGGCAATCCACTCCCAGCGGCGCCACCACCACCCGCGGCGGCGCATCCGTGGTTCCAGTTCTCTTCTTCTGGCTCGGGGTATAGATTTCCTCCGCCGCTTCCAGGCAAGAACGATTCTTCTTCCTCTCCTCCGCCGCCCATGGCGGTGCCCATCGAGGAGATCACGCCCTTCCACCAGCAGCGGCTCTTCCAGTTCCAGGACCAGAGCGCGGCGCTGCGATCCAGCGATGGTGGCGGAGGCGGTGGCGGTGCTCTGTTTCGCGGGCAATTGGGCGGGATTGATCGGGGCGAGGGGGCCCTTCCCACCGCCGGGACGAGGCTTTTCGGCGTGGATCTGGCCAGCAGCAGCGGCAATGCGGCCCGGAAGCGATCCTCCCCGCCCTTGAACCTCGACAACCTCAAAGATGCCGGGATTGGGCATCTGTCGCTGGCGCTCCACCAAGTCCCACACGATCGCGAGGAGCGCGACGACGATCGCGACCGCGCCAGCTCCTCCAATGGCAGTAGCTCCTCGTCCAAGAGGAGGAGGCGCGATGGCCACGATCTTCCTCCATCCTCGTCACAGCTGGACGCCGCCAAGACGATGGAATCGAGCGAGGACGATCGAGAGGGTCAAGAGGGCGAGGGCGATTCTTCCAGCTCCATCTCGGCGTCGCGGCCTCACAGATTGGAGCGGCACAGCTGATCTATACGTATATATACATGTGATTCGATCGCGCGGATGATCGATCGGATCATCATTCTCAGGTGGTTTGTTTGTTCATACTCCAGCACACTCTATTTTTTCCTTCTTACACACAACATATCTTATTACTCCTCCCCTCTCCTCCTTTGTCGATTGTAACTTCCATACGTGGGGTTTGTAAATTCTTGGGGTGGCCGAGGAGAGATTTATGATTCTTTTTGGGGGGAAAGAAGTTGGTATGAAGATCATGTGGTTGCAATGGATTTGGGCAACTATTATTGAAACTTGGGTGGATCCACCCACTCTTCGCTTTGTGTATTGACAATTTTCTGATAATACAGCCTTTGGAAGTTGAAAGCTTCTCTAGGGTTTGATTCAAGAATTTCGAAGTTTACAAAGCTGGCGTGATAAAGAAATGGGATAAAAGTGTAATATCTTCTTCTCCTTTTGTGTGATTCCTGTTTGGTGTCTCGCAAACTTTCCGCGAAACCCCGTGGCTGGATTGCTCTCACGCATCACTTATCCTCCTCGTGTCAAGCCTGTGTAACTTGCCAATCTGACCTTGGACAAATAAAAGTCCAAAAGCTACGAAAAAACTACTTGGGCAGATTTTTCGGACACCTTGGGCTATCATCTCATGGGCCGATCCAAGCCACTATAATGTCCTGATGACGATGACGATGAGAAGAAAAAGAAAAAGAAAGTAATAGCCATATCATCACATGGTAGTAGGACAACAAAAAATGCGGCACCAACAGTACATTATTCCTCACGCCACCACCTTCTTTTCCCTTTTCTTATTGTTTTTGCGGCAGCCAAGTAGAAGCTTACACGATAACAATCCCCCTAACTGGGCATCTGGATCGCGATGGTCAAAGTTAAAAGCTCCCATTCTTCTCTAGGGATGGGAATTTGCGTCATGGAGATTTCACCGCCTAGAAGTGGAGGCCCTGATGTAGCCACACAACGTACATTCAGACACACAAAAACTTGGGTCCGTGACATTGATATGATCTTTAAGCCCATGAAAACAACCATGGATTCTTTGAAGTTATCCCAAGCACAAAAGGACACTTGAAGTGGTCCAAAGCTTGATTGCTGCAACTTGGGCTCTCCCGACTCATGCTAGGACTACTCGCGCCACATGCAATCTTGCCCTTTTCTAAGCGCATCATTCTGTGCTCCCACAAAAGTAGAGTGGGCCAAAAAGTCGTGGTCTTGGTTGTGGTGGTGTGATGAGCGGAGCTCAGCTCGTTCATTTATTTTCTGCGTGGTTTGAGCGCTTAATGAGAGAATGATCTTCGTAAAACATGTGCTGCTGTTGCTGAGATGATGATGTGCGGTGTGTCGAGCTGCCAATTCTAGAATTGTTCATCCATCCTCTTATAAGCTACTACTACTACTACTTGGTGCGGATTGCGACCGAGCAACAGCAACTATGGCACAAAAATGTGGGACCTGAAACTTTCGCTGCACCCACCGACTGCTACTACTGGTGACAGATTTTTTTGTGTTGGCTGCCCGTGAATCCATCGGGTTTGGATCTCTGATAGCTAAGTTCTCGCATAAATATCACACTCGCAAAGTTTGCTCAACAAAAACAACAACGCCACCAATTCCAGCAGCAGCAACAACTTGCACTATACCCAACAAAAGCTCATCTTTAAAACGCATGATTATGTTTGGAGTAATTCTTTGTTTTTTGCCAGCTTAACTACTTCCATCAACTAGCTCAATCATGCACACACACAAACACACAGGCCTGGCTTGCCAAATATTAAGTGGACATAACAGACATGTATCTCCTGTCCAGAGGAATCTACCCAAAAGCCAGGCCAACACGATTACTTCAGAAAAACAACACCAAATTAGTCTTTTCTGCGATGGATCTTCCTGTTGAGGCCAGATATGCGGGTGGCGGGGCGCTGACACGTACACGATAGGACGACCAAGTTTAGATTTTATAATCCCGCATGCCAAATCCTAAACTCTCCCGATACCGGGACTTTTCAAGTCCACAAACACACTAGCAGATGGCCCCAGCAGCAGCACAAAAGAGGAATCAAGCAGAGGATTTGGAATTTGGGAATGGGATCATGATTTGGAGTAGGAGACAAAGCGGCATTTCATTCTCCACCAACAGTCCTCCAGCTCCTCCTCCACAGAGAGAAGAAACAAAACAACTAGTAGAACTTGGCAAGAGTCCCCACCATGAAAGTGATGAGGGAATTGAGTACCAGGCTGGCCATATGGCTGTTTATACGTTATATATCTATATGTGCTCGTCACCACCACCCCTCCCCAACATTTATACCACCAAAAAGAAAAGGGGAAATATATGAAAGCAAGAGGGTTGGGTGGTGGTGTGTGTGCATGTGTACGTGGGGACTACCAGCCAATGTCTGTGGCTAACCAATTTGGTTGTGGAAAGGACGCCTGGGCCTCTAGTGGGTGGAAGCAGATCAAATTCACATATTTTTCTTTGTATTGTGTGAGTATACATATGTGATGTTGGCTGGCAGGCTTGCTGGCTGGCTGGAATTCTTACACCATTTGAGACTTTGTGAAAAAAAAAGAAGTTCTCTCCCAGAATTTTGCACACGAACAGCAACAGAGGTTCAGAAAGGGTCTCTGGGCGCACAACAACAACTTTACCAACACCAGACAGAGCCGAGCTATCTTTCAGATCGGTGGACAGTGGAACAGTTCTGTACTTTGGGCTGCTCCAAGTGTTGAGTGATGTATTTTTCTCCTTTTCTGATTTCATATATTTGGTGAAATATATGATATATAACAAAATGATGGGATCAGATTGGACCCAGAGTGGTGGTGGCATTTGCAATCGTAATGCATGCACATGGGGTGGTGTGGTATCACACAAACAAATCCAGAATAACACCCAATTGTTAGGATATTCTTTATGTGGATGCAAGGATGTTTCGTTGCTTCGGGTCTACACAATGACGATGTGCATACACGTTTAATGCTTGGTTTTCGACTCAACGTGTGGTTTATCAAGGGGGTGGAAGACTGGCTTTAAAACCGCGTGAAAAGAGAGCTTCGTCGCGTAAACAATGCGAGCTTGACTTGCGCAACTTAACCTGTCCCACAATAACACCTGAAGGACAATCTTAATCCAGACTCCAATCTGATCCTTACAGTGCCTAGCAAGCAAAAGTGACAAACCACGAGATAGAAAAGAATGGAAAGAAAATAAAGCAAAGCAACAACAGAAAGCAGTGGCAGCAGCCAGCCACAGAGCACTGTCAAGCACTACATGTGTTTTGTGTAGGGCCTGATTATAAGAATATTATGGGAAATCAGCAAACCAACAAACTTTTCAAACATTCTGATATGGCCTAGTTGCTGAACATTCTTGCTGGTTTACCTAGTCAAATGAGAAGGATCAAGGCAAAATTTCCATGAGATCCTTTTCCTCTTCCCTCTTGTTTTCAATTTCACTTCTTTTGTGTGTTTTTTTCTGGTTGGATCTGGCCCAGTGCATGTGAATGAGGGAGATGGGGGGCAGCTAGGCTGGTGGGAGATGGTGGTGGTGGTGGTGGTGGTGGTGGCCACACCACACCCCACACACACATGTATCAGAGCATAGCAGCAGGAACCAACGCAGATGCCTCTCTACCTAATGACTTTGTTTATCTTTCCATTTTTCCCCCTCTCCCTCCTTTTTTCCTCCTCCCTCCCTGACATTTGCATGCCTGAAAAATGTTCAGTTCTTCAACCCACTTTAGTTGTTGCTACTGGTGCAGCTGCAGTGCTGCTGCTGCTCTTGTTGTTATTGTTCAGAGGCCATTTTGTGGGGTGACGTCAGTCAACCACATCTCGATCAATTCTCAGGTGTCCGAGCAGACGCGTTGGCCAACCGCACCAACAAAAGAAAAATACAGCCTACTTTTTTTTTTTCTGTGGTGCATGTGTACTGTGTTGATATGGCACACCAAGTCCTGGCCTGAGTATCACGAGATTTTTTAAAGTATTGGGTGGAATTGTCTATGATGTGTATGGTAGGAGGCAGCAGGAGCAGGAAATTTTTGGATATGTTATAATACTTGAGTCGAGACTTTTGCTACTCTTGTTTCAGAGGCTTGCATCCGGTAAGGTTGAATCTGAGCGGGCATATGCTCCTTGAGAATTGATCATCCACAAACATGATTCTGGCGACTGCGCCCTGTTGCGGGCCTGTCGCTTTTATGATTGTAAGTAAGTTTCTTCTAGAAAGTGCTTCGCAGATCTGAAGTTCTTGCTGGGAATCGCATCGGTCCTTGACAAAAACAGCCTTCTCAGTCGCAGCAAACCGGCATTAATCTTTCTTATTTTCCACGGGGAATCTACACTGTATTTGACGACGTCATCCGGGCGGGGACTATCAACTTTCATCTGAGATCAGTGCCTGGAAGGTATGTTTAAATGGTTGACATCTCAGGATAGATACATCTCCTTTTCTTGAGTTGTGTACAACGAGTGCAAGCACACCTCACATTCAAAGGTGGTTGGATGATTGATAGGCAGATGCCAGGCCAACAACAAAGCGATCAACTCTTGCATTTCTTTTGCATTAATTTTTAATGTGTAAATCGCCGGAAAAACTTATATCAGAAGGCTGCTGCCAACTCCCCCATGTTACATTCGGTTTGCAAGTTAGCCTCACCCACGCAACCACGCACAAAAATTGGGGGAGCACAAATGGAGCTATCCGCCCATCCACCTGTTTCCTCGCTTTTGTTAATGGGAAAACCTTTTCCAGCTTCGAGAGCAGCACGCAAAAAAAAAAAAGAACAAAAGAACAAAAGAAAAAAAAACCAAGAACAGCTCAGTTGTTTGTGTCTAGATGCGTGTCAGAACGACCATTTTGCTACAGTAGAACACCTGTAATAATTTGGCCCAGCACTAGGAAGGCCTCTTTTTCTTTTGGCATGCTCTGCTATTGGGCTGGGCTGTGCGAGCAAGAAGATTTTATGGAGATGGGGACCACTTTGTTTTGCACCTGGGAAAGGAGATGAAGGGAAATGCATGCAACAGGAACACCATCTCTCTGAAGTTTGTGTAAGGAAGGTGCAACTCTGAACCTGAAGCTGAAGCTGAATCTGAACCTGAACCGGATTCGCTCAAGATAGTACTTTTGCAAAGTGGTGGGCTATGAATTACAAAGTACATGAATTACCAAGGAATGTTCATGAAAGGGTGGTCACCTCTTTTGGGCGGCTGTACTATACTCCCCACTTGTACTACACATATGTACATGCATAATTCAGCTGCTTCTTCTGGGACGTTAAAACATCGTTTTCTCGAGGGAGGCAATTCAAATGCAGATCAGTTGACTTTGCAGTAATAAAAATCTCAAA